AGGAGCGTCGGGTGGATGACAATGCCTAGTCCAACTTACCGACAGCGACGCTCCGACCTCTCCCCTACGCTTCCTCCGGTCCTCCCTTTTCTCCTCCGCCCGCCCCCCGTCTTCCCAGATCTGACCCTCGCCGCCATCGCCGCCGTCGCCCCCGCCCATGGCCGCAGCCGCCGACGCCGACGCCCCCTCCTCCTCCCCCCTCGCTACCCTGCGCCTCCTCCCCTTTTCTCCTCCTCCCCCTCGAACCGGAACCGGAACTGGCCCGGAACCGCCGGTTCAGAACCGGAACCGGAACCGCCCCCTTGCGGTTCCTGTTCCGGTTCAAACATGGCCACAAACCGGAACCGCCGGTTCCTGAACCGTGGCCATGACTGGACGCAACTACCTCTGACGTGACAAATTTTTTTCTAATTTTTTTATATATTTATATTTCTTTGCTTTTCTTTTTTTCTTTTCTCTTTTTTTTACTATCAAGGGCTGGCCCATAAAAATTCAAAATTATTTACATTAGCATTGACCATGTCACGTAGGACGGTCAATATCTACGTTATCAATATTCGGTCAAAATTAATTAGAAGGACTACATTGGCAAATCGTCAAAAATTTTATGATTAAATCAACATAATTGAAAAGTTTACTATAGCGATTTCGACTGGTGAGCACATTTGTCATAATTTCATGAATCAAAATTTAATAATTCCTATCATTAAAATTAGAAACAAGACATATGAGCACAAAGACTCAATAAAGCCACGTTTTGTCGGAACTTGGACAGTGAGATGGGCAATTCAACATGCTAATTTTTCTTTTCCTTGTTGTTCTTATCGAGATTTCAATCGCGGGTTATTCCCGTCATAGTATAAAAATATCGAAAGAGTTTCGATTAGTGTACCATATTTGGATTTTCCAAGATATTGATTCCGTGCGATGCCTGATAATCAACGCATTACAACATATAATTTTTTTAATTAATTTATTATGAATTAGTCATGGTACTTTTGTTAACAAGGTATATTTAAAAAATAGTATACAAACAGAAAAAAAAAAGAGAAGAAAATCTGAGAAACTTTTCTTTATATAAGGTGCTTGCCAACGTGATGCACGCGGTCAGAGAGTTCTTGTTTATCTTTCCTTGCTTTTCCTCCTTCTTTGACCGATGAGAACATCTTTCTAAGTCTGACCGCAGTAAATATCCGTATAAGAGTGTTCATGGTCGTAGCACGTACGTCTACGACCATAAACAAAAGTTGAGTAATATGATCATATTTTGAAAGTTCTTAATCATACCCAGTTATACAATAACAAATTTGAAACCGATCAACGACTCGCGAGGAAAATACATCCAATTACTAGCATTTTGTGTATTGCATGTATCTAACTCATGAATAATTGTCTGACTAATCGGAATGATCGTTCGAGCTCGATTCTGAACTCGAGCAAATTACATCGTCGGCGGTTGCCGTCCAACCTAGTACCAATGCAATTTGGCCCTCCTAGGTGTATAGTTGAGAAATAATATTGGGTCACTGTCACATGAAACTTCTTTCAATTTGTCCCATCCACATCTCATAATGGAGCATGGGATTATTAATAGAGAGTCCAACTAGATAAGAAAAAAATATCTACTATAAGCCTGTCCTTTTAAGATACGTTAATGGTCCCTATCAGGGCATAGTATCGTACGAGTAAATAATAGGAAGAGCATCGGGTCATATCATCCTAATTAAAAGATGCATGTGGCGGGACCCGTGAGGCCTCGTGGTCAATGAAATGATCCAACGGTAACGTCACGAACGATCATCTTGCATAACATTCTCGATGAATTATTTGAGGAGGACGTTTTGGAGTGAACTTGCGACGAGAGGCGTATAAAGGGTGCTCGAGATGGGCATCGTTTGAATTACTTGATTGAATTTACTCTATCAAGATGGGCACAAAAGGTATGTGATCGGTTCATATGGAAAATTATCCAAAAAATTATAAATCTATTTTACGACTGTCAATTCAGTTTTAAGCCTTTTAATTATACTAATTTAGTCATAAACCTTTTGATGATTTGCCAATGTAGTCCTTCCAGCTAATTTGGTCGGAGATTGTTGAAGTAGATGCCAATTATCCTATGTGGTATAGCTAACGCCGATGTGACATTTTTTGAATTAATTAATTATTTATTTTTCTTTTCTTTTTTTTCCTTTTCTCTTTTTTTTTTTTTTCTATTAAGGGCTGTCCCAAAAAATTCAAAAAATTTGCAATTATAGTTCACGTCGACGTCGGCCGGTCATGCCATATAGGACGGTCGATGTCTACATCATCAATTTCCAGCTAAAATTAATCGGAAGGACTACGTTGACGGATCGTAAAAAAATTACGGACTAAAATTGACACAATTAAAAAGTTCATAACTGATTTGACCGTCGTACCGTAGATTCGACAACTTTTAGACAATTTTTCCTCGGCCAAATGGCAGGCAACGTCTCAATCGGGTCTCTCTTCTTCGTCCTTCCATCGAAGGTGGGATCGATCTCAACGTCGATCGTTCGAAGAGGGCTTCTCTTTTATTGATGGATGGGGCCATATGTCTGGTGTGCCATGCACAATGGATCGCCATAGCTGCAGCCGAGCAGCAAAACAACAGCAAATTTGGTGCAGCGCATGAAAACGATAGGTGAAGATGTGACGCCTAATGTCACTTCAGCCTAACCCCCACGATGCATCTGCCTCTTTGCTTTGCATGGTGAGGATGACTTCCACTTTATTTGAGTAGGGCCCTCTCGATATCATATATCTTCTTCTATTTGGTATCGACACTTCGCCTTCTTTTTTTTCGATGCTGCTGATAGGAAAAAAACGAAAGCGACGTAGATTTTAATGAATATATGGAAACCCCTTTACATGATTTGAATTATTTATCCGATTCTTTATCCAACATTATCGTTGGTGGTGAATCAAACAGTTTTTTTATCATTGACTGATAGAGAAATCCTTTACGCTTTGGTGATGAGCTACCATCCATCTCGGTTTCCTATTCTTTACTGGTGATGAGCGCCTTTAAGTATCGGTGGTGAACCTTTCATATCTTTTGTCCTTTTCCCATCGTCCTATTATCATTTATCGCACCATTGTCATACACTTAACCAGAAAATTCCCCATTCCTAGAAAAGCTCACCCACGAACGCATCAAGGCAAGCGCATCAGGTAATAACGGGAACCTTCTACATTCTTGGATCATTTTCTCGTGAAAGCATGAATCTTCATGGTTGGCGCAGTCATTTAGAACATTAAGGGTCCGTTTGTTTCGCGAAAAACATTTTTCAGGAAAACACTTTCCTCATTTTCCGGCGTTTGATTTGCTTAGGAAAATGTGTCAACGGAAAATGTTTCATTACCAAAACTTAAATTCAAGAAAACGATTTCCTCTTTAAAAGAACCGGAAAACGTTTTTCGGTGTATGACTCGATATTGGCGCTTGGACTCGAAACTCTATGTTTGGACACGAAAACCCCAACGTTGGTTCCCAAGTCCTGATATTCTGGATCAGGTCTCGGCAGCCGAGCTCGAGACCTCAGTGTCTAGGGCCTGGGCCCCCGGCACCCACGCCCGGTTCCATTGAGGTTAAGCCCGAACCCTTGGTGCCCGTACCCGATGATCCGGCACTTGAACTCGGGTCCATAAATGCCATGCTCAAGTCCCCGATGCTCGAGCTCTAGTCCCGACCCTCCGGCCCGAGCGCATGTCCTCGGTACTCGGGTTGGAGTCCTTAGTTAATGAAATGTTTGCTTTTATAAAAATATTTATTTTAAAAAATCGAATATTTATTTATTTTTTAAAAACCATTTTTAATTATTTTTTAATTAATTAATTATTTAAAAAAATCGAATTATTTATCATTTAATCTTTTCGTTTTCTTTCTTTTTATTTTTATTTTTTATTTTCTTCCTTCTTCTTCTTCCTTAGGCCGGTCACTGGCCATGGCGACGGCCGGCGAGCTCGAGGCGGCCTCTGGCGGCGAGACTCAATTTTTTAAAAAATAAAAAACGTTAACAAATTTGATTTTTTTTTTTGCTTGAAATAAAATCATGAGATTGAAATCATTTTCTAATAAAATCCAAATAGAAAACGATTGCCATTGTGTATCACCAAATAAAGAAAAACTAAGCGTATTCTTGTAAAATGATTTTCCGGAAAATATTTTCCTTTGTCATTGAGTTTTCTGCAAAAACAAACACACCCTAAAGAATCTTTTCAATTCGGGAAATGGATGTAAACTCATCTAGGGTAGGACTTAACTACGCATGTCAAAGATCCGAATGTAACCGGTTCTTGACTTGCGACGTGCTCCATGAATTTTCAGATAGCTCAATCTCTGCGTCTATGCCATGAAGTAATAAAAAAGAAAAAGAAAAGGGGGAAATGGAGGACAGACAATCGACGGGGAAAGGTGCATGGAAAGTAGTAGTATGTTTGGCTTTCGTAGTGCGATTTGAGCCTTTCAAACGGTATGTGATTGCTCTTTCAACCTTTAGAAAAAGAAGTCAATTAAGTCCTTATGGCGAATACTAGCACCACGTTGGAAATAGTCCAAACGGCACCCAAATAAGATGCCCTAGGAAATATCAGGAAACTTTTATAAGGAAGACCGTGATTGCAATTGTTTCAAAGATTTTGAGGTCTTAATTACAAAGATTGAAAGATTTTTGTGCTGTATTGAATTTCTTCAATAGGCACGTCACTGATAATTTTCGATGGGCGTGAATGCTCTAAATCGGATTATTTAATTTCTCTGACAAAATCTTTCGTGTCTACTCAAGATCGCTTCCTCATTTCTTTGCTAGGCAGACTAATGATGTCTAAATTGCAATTTTAACAATGCCTGGGAATGCAAAAGGCAAACGAAATATCCGTCCCGCTTAAACATAACTCATAAAGGCTCCGCGTCACGTACTTTTTCATATGGCTAGGCTAACACCCTCGGGGAATCGCAATTTGCTTTAATTCCCTCTCTAAAATCTAAGCATTTTCAGTAAGCGTCTGCTTAATTACTTTCAAATTGCGAGTGATTGAGGAAAAGTGCGGTCTAATTGAAGGGTCTTGGTCCCAAGAGAGGCATACGAGTTGGACAAGCTCCTCAAGATGGCCATCTTCATCATCCGGAAGCGCAGGCCTGAGCTTGCCTTCTGCTACTTCCACTGCAATCTGCTTGCATAACACGATGTAACAAGTTGATGAATGTACGGTAAGCATTTTAACCATAGACAATAGCTACATTGGAATTGGGGAAATGGGAAATTTTTAGAACCCATTGGAAGATGAAATTTAGTACCTGGGCTGGGCCAAATTCGGTCTCGATGTAAGGGTGTTCGCCGGTGACGAGCTCGTTGAGTATGACCCCGAAGCTGTACACGTCGCATTTCTCGTCGTAAGGCTCGCACCGTATCACTTCGGGCGCCATGTACACATAAGTCCCTTAGACGCGAGAGAGCAGCGGACGTAATTTTACTAAGTTGGACTTGCCAAATGATGTTTGCTACAATAGAAATGTTCTTGAAATTTACCTGTTTCACCGGTTAATGCGAGCTCGTCATCTGCCAAGAACCGGGCATGCCCAAAATCAGCGACCCTCACATGCATTGCATCGTCCAGGAAGATGTTGCTGGGCTTCAAGTCCCTGTGGATCACCCTGGGCTTCTGCTCGTGCAAATACTCCATCGCTTGGGCTATCTCCAAAGCCAGGCTCAGCCGCTCCCCGAGCGGGGGCAGTGGCTCCACCCTCTCCCCCGTCCTCCGGTTCCCGGGCCCGTGGAGCCACTCCTTCAGCGTTGAGCCCAGAAACTCGGTCACTATCCATGCGCGCTCGGGCGGGTCGATGCACGCCCCCATCAGCTGCAGCACGAAGCGGTGCCGCTGCCGTGACAAGGTCTCGAGCTCCTGCGCGAAGAAGGCGGCGCCGCTCTGGTTCGTGTGGAAGAAGTCGGGGAAGATGCACTTGACTGCCACGTCGAGGCCCCGCCACACGGCCCTGTATATCTCCGCAGTGGTCCCCCGGGCTATCTTCTCCTGCAGCTCGATCTGGGCCAAGGTTATAACGACGGGTCAATATAACATCCGAATTCAGCTACATGATTAGCGATCTTTCTCACTGCAAACACACACCGATCGAGTCGATTCGAATCGATTTGCAAGTTCACTAAAACCATGTCCACTAAACATATGATTGACCATAATTCAATGAGAAAACTCACCTCATGTGGCTCAATGTACCAACCATTGATCCTGGCCTGATCAACCACGATTGAAATATCGGACTCAGGTTGCACTAATGTAATGGTGGGAAGCTGAGGACTGACATTGCCATTGGAGAATTGAGGAGAGACAAGGACCTCTTCTCGTTGGTTAGAATTGTTATTACTGCTAATGTTATTGTTATCAGTAGCATTATTGTTGTCGTTATTGTTGCTGTGTTCTTCGTCGTCGTGCTTGTGGCGGATGATTAGCTGAAGAAAGCCACTGTCTTTGGCTGTCTGAAGGCAGTACCGGAGGTAATCCTGGGTTCTCTCCAGTCTCTTCCTGTACATTGTCCTAAGCTCCTTCTCCATTTGGACTTCCTTCTCTAATTCCTCCACCTTCGATTCACAAATCAAATTGAGCAAGTCATTTCGCCAGAAATATCATTAAAACATCCTTGTAATCTTAAATTTCGAAAACAACGATAGTAAAAGTGAATGGGTTATTTTACTTTGCTGAGACCGTAAACGTGATCATGTTTGAGCTCGTTCTTTTCATCAATGCTCAAACTCTTTTTCATCGACTTTCGGAAAAAACCGTTGATAATGGTCCCACAGAAATCACACCACGTCAAATTTACCTGCTGCTGCAATCTAGAAACAGACGTTTGCTGGTGCTGGTGATGGCCAGTGGAGACTTTAGAGCCCATGCTGATACAGTCATTAAGCCCGCAGCAAAACCCACGCCGCAGCCGATGAGGAGCCGAGCTACCTTGTTTCGCCGGAGAACTCTGCACGCACGACGGTCGGGACGCGAACGGCTGGGCGGACATCCGGCGATCGTCGCCTCCAACGTTCATCTTACGTGTATTCTCACTCTTGATTGCCTGGTTATAGTATTGCCAGGGTAGGATCAAGAAGAGAGAAACGTTAAGCTATGCTTCATGAGCCTTATAAACTGTATCGCTTAGCAATCTTTTTTTATGTATATCCAATCTCTTTTAGCTTTGGGAACTACGACACGAGGCGGACATACTTATGCATTGACTGTTTTTCCTGTTGATACACATACGCTTGTCTTTTCACCCTAAGACTTCTTATTTTCCACGCACTTATGTTACCTTATCCATTTATCACGTCATCTCCTATATCAGCATCTCACGAAGTGATTATGGCCACGAGATTATAGAGTTCAAAAGACATTGTTACTTACTGTTTCGATGAATTCAATGAGATGACAGACGACAAAATTCTAGATACCAACTTGCAAACTAGGTATCATGAAGCACCATGCTTTTCAAGAATGGCGATTATTCATATGATTGAGGAAAATGACGAATAAGGCGGTGACTTCATTAAAGCGTAAAAAGCAAAAAAGAAAAAAAAGCTGCAGTAAATTTGTGGGAAAAATTTTGTAGGACCAAAATAAATAGATTCTCATTTAAATCCTTTGAAACATGAAATAAGATGACAAGGAAATTTTGTTTTGCTGTAGAAACTCCTGCCTTGGCAATTATAGTTTCATAAGCTGGTTACGTCCTTAACAATTATCTCAACTTTGGAAAAATCGCCCCTACTTGTCAATTTCTTTGTGGATACTAATGTACTGATAATGATATATCTGATCCAGCGATTTGAAATTTCTCCATTTTCATCGTGATAATGTTATAAAGTTTATGAACCATACGATACTCTTTTCAAGTATATACACCAGAATCTTCTCCCCTTTTTCGTTCCTCTCAAAATTAGACAAATAGGACAAGACAAAGAAAGAGGTGGATCTTCTTATTTCTCTCGTGATGTGATATGTCTTAATCTTCTTGTTTAGCATTTGTTTCGGAACAAAACAATTGAAATTATACTCGGTCGATGATGATGTGCATATTCCATGGGATCTTCAGCAGAAAATGAAAGAACACAAAAAATAGTCGAACATGTCATGTCAATAAACAATGCACATACATAGATTCAAGAGGACTTATATCAAATAGGATCACACGACGAATCTAATCAATAATTATGTATTAGCTTTGCTCTTTCCGCAGAGTAGGTTACACGATCACGAACATCAACAAGAATCGAAATGCAACCACAATTTGTGGCGTGGTTTCATCTTCACATCTTTTCTTTTTTTTTTGGGCCCCCCGCCTTATTATTTTTCCTCCTTTTTTTTTTCATTTTTGGGTTGCATTATACTGCATGTTTTTAGGCCAAGCAAAAAACACCAGCTTCATTCACATTGCTCATCACATCGACTTCTACTTTATCATCCAAAGGAAAAGCTGACGACATATGCTTGCGAAAATGCATCTTGGGATCGCCGAATCGAATATATACCTTGATCTGTCTTATGCTCGCAAAGGAAAAGCAACAACTAGAAAAGAAGCAAAAGAAGAAGAAGAAGTGAAAAGTAAAGTAAGACTCGAAGTGGACCACTGCTGTTCGGGAATGATAGGAAGGAGAGGGTCGACATGTTCCTTGCCGGCTTCCTTGCGGTCTTTCCAATTTAAATTGACCGGACCAAAGTCTCTGTGTAGTCTTGCGTTGGAGAATCGTTTGGAATGTCTAGGAAATAGATTCCTAGGAAAATAATTAGTTATATGAGGATAAATTATTGGTATCTGTATGAGAATATTCACCGAGTTGTCATCTTATTCACCTTAGGATGGAGATGGAAATTTTAATAGAAACGCCATTGATTTTATTCATGTGTGTTTGGGCAGAAAATATAAGGGAAAATGACACAAATGATCATTGAACTCCGGCCCAATGTGTAATGTGATCCCTAAATTTTAGCCAAATATGTAATGTCATCTCTGAACTTTCAATTTGTTCAATGTGATCCCTGAACTTTTGATACATATTCAATCTAGTTCAAGGACTAACTTGGACATGTACCAAAAGTTTGGGGATCACATTGAACAAATTAAAAGTTCAGGGATCACATTGCAAATTGGACTAAAGTTTAGGGACCTCATTGCACACTGGGTTAAAGTTCAAGGACTATTTGTGTTATTATCTCAAAATGGGAAAAGTGCCAAAAAAGTCATAAACCTTTTGCATTAGTGTCAATTTAGTCCTAAACCTTTTTTTGGTGCCAACTAAGTCCTAAACCTTTTAAATTGGTGCCAATTCAATCCTAAGCCATTTGTTTTTGTACCAATTTAGTCCTTCCGGTCAATTTTGACCAGAATTTGCCGACGTGGACGCCTGTCGGTCACCAGCGCCGACGTGGACAACTTTAATAATATTTTAATATTTTTTTGAATTTTTGTTTTTTTTTCATTTTTTTCCACTTTTTTTTTTTTGGTCTCTCCCTCCTTCCTCTGGCCGGTCGCCGGTCCGGCGACCAGCCAGAGGCCAGAGGCCGGCGAGCTCGAGCTCGCCCTCGCCGGCCTCTGGCCTCTGGCGAGCCTTGCCGGAGGCCGCGGTGAGGGCGAGCCTCGCTAGATCCGGCGAGGTCGGGCCTCGCCCGACCATGGCGAGGCTCGCTCTCACCGCGGCCTCCGGCGAGGGCTCGAGCCTCGCCTTGGTCGGGCGAGGCTTGAGCCCTCGTCGGAGGCCGCAGCGAGGGCGAGGGCCGACCTCGCCGGATCTGGCAAGGTCGAGCCTCGCCCAGCTACCTCGCCAGATCCGGCGAGGCTCGCCCTCGCCAGTGGCCGGCGAGGTTAAGCTCGCCGGCCTTTGGCCTCTGGCCGGTCGCCGGACCGGCGACCGGCCAGAGGAAGGAGGGAGAGACTAAAAAAAAAAGTGGAAAAAAAAAGAAAAAAAAGGAAAAAAATTAAAAATTAAAAAAATTAAAATATTATTAAAGTTGTCCACGTTGGCGCCGGTGACTGGCCGCTGGCCGGTAGGCGTCCACGTCGCCAAATTCCTGTCAAAATTGACCGGAAGGACTAAATTGGCACAAAAACAAAAGGTTTATGACTGAATTGGCACCAATTTAAAAGGTTTAGGACTTAATTGGCATCAAAAAAAGGTTTAGGACTAAATTGGCACCAATGCAAAAGGTTTAAAACTGAATTGGCACCAAAAAAAGGTTTAGGACTAAATTGGCACTAATGCAAAAGGTTTAGGACTTTTTTGGTGCTTTTCCCATCTCAAAATATAACATGGAGGAAGTTAATTACTTGGAAAATGAAAAAAGAAATTACAATAACCTTAACTGGTGATTGGACTTGTCATGCAATATCATAAGTATATGGAATATGTCTTTGAAAGGAAATTAGAGATTTGGTTTGTTCATTATTGGTGGGGAGATGATGCTTTCACTAGCAAAAGTTGGGTTTTTATTTTTAATGAATTTACATACCGAATTTTCCTTAATAAAGATCTGTTTTTTTTTCCGGGTTCATTTAGGTTGGTCTTATACACGAATGATGTGTCGGTTTTAAGTGATGAAAAACTACATGTTCCGGTGGACGAGCAAAGTCCGCTTCTAGTAAACAAACTCCGAGTCCATAGAATCTCCTACTAACATGACAAATCATGTAAGACAAGATGCAAGCTGACATCAAGATAGATAGATCGGCCAAGAAATTATTTACATATGATAACGTGGGGGAATCGGACCTACATTCCGCGATAAGTCTCCATGCATGTCCGTTTCATAATCACTAAACTAAAGTATGAGGTACTTCGAGGGCTAAAAACTACAACTACATAGAGGAAAATCAGCAGACGCATTTGTTAACAAAAGTGTCCTAAAACCCTGGACAACAACATACTAAAAAAAAAACTACAGCATCCCATGCACATTACAACTTGTTGCATACAAAAATGTAGCATGCCATAAAAAAAAATTAAAGCATAGCTAATACTTTTATCGAGTGTTCCAACAGTACTTTTCAGCGAAAATCGGCATCAATTTTATGTGGATATTTCTTGTAAATTAAGATTTCACAACCGGCAACCTTGGAAACAGTTTTCTTTTGTTGGGCCCTTTGCAGACTGGTGGTTCTAATCATGCCACATTTTGACTAATTGAGTTTGTCATTTTCTAGTGGGCCATCTTAGTGTACTTCGGCATGTATGCTCATTGCGCATTGATTAATCTTATGATGATTATATCTACTTTAATAATTAGCATATAGTTGCTAACCCTATGCTAAATTAATTAAAGATAATTTTTTTTTGGGGGAGGCGGGGCCATAGGCGAGGAAACATACTTGGATATTGTCGTGTCATTGTCCATACTCGAATGACATCTTCATAAACGTTTTTCTCATAATGAGACCTTTAAAGTTCACATAAACATCAACTTCTAAAATCACCCCAAATTTTCCTACAATTTATTAACAAAAAAGAAAATTCGATCCTCAATAAGATCTTAAAAGGTTTCGTTTGAACTTTGGGATATTAAACTCGAGGGTATTCTCAAGAGAGAGGGAAGAAAAACTTTCTCTCCAATTGATGACTATTCAGATACTAATACGTTAAAATAAAAAATGTAATCCTATTAGCTCGTTAAGTGTATATACTTGGACATGCGAGGCGACGCTTGAACATAGGCATAAGTCCTATCACATCAAACAAGAGCATGAATAGTTTCTTTTTATATTTTCTTTTTTTCCTTCCCATTTTTTATTATTTTTTTTTGTTTTTTTTTCGAATTTTTGGAGGGATGAGGAAACCCTAATAATAAAAACACGCTTCTTCTCTTCTTTTCTTGGGTACCGAGAAAACGAAGATGCGATGCGAACTCAAAATGGCGAAGCAACGGGTCTAGGAAAGAAAAGCAAAAGCCCCTCCCTTTCTCCATTCCCAATTCTCTCTCTCTCTCTCTTTCTCTCCAAATTTTTTGCTTGTGATCGCAATCTGGAATCTCCCCAATTTTCTTTCTTTAAATTTTTTTCCTTTTCCAATCTTTTCAATTCTTTCTCCCTCTGCTTTTCTTGCCCTCGTTCAATCCAAACTGTCACCATCTCTGCCCAAAAAAATTTCCCAGATCTTGATCAAAGAATTAACGCATCCCCAGATGCTCTTTCCCTGAAAAAAACAACCCCTTCTCTGTCCTTCTTTACCATCGTTTGGATCTTTAGAGTACTCCCCAAGACTGATATTCAAGAATGTTTAATGAGATTTGTTATCTTTCTTCGCTCTCGATGTCTCGGAACCCGCATCATCTTTGTTTGGAGAGCTGAAGCAGAAGGGACAGATTTGCGCAGGAACAGAGAGAGAGAGAGAGAGAGAGAGAGAGAGAGAGAGAGAGAGAGAGAGAGAACGAGACAAAGCGTAATCAAGAGCAGATGAGGAAGGAAACACTGAAACTTGTGTCTAATTTGGATTTTACTTGACCCTGTTCCGGGACCACAAATCTTGGACATTAGCAGCTGCATAATCATCGTCTGCGAAATCCCATTGTCGCCTTCTCTCCCCGACACTTCCATTCCTCCAAGATTTTCGGGCACCCATCTCACTGTTTCTCGCTAAAGTTCAGTAATTTCTTTAGGCAGATGAAATAAGGTGTAAACAATCTCTTGGTGAAGTTGCTTGTCGACGGGGTTTTCATCCAATCTCGTTTCATTTAGCCTATAAGCGATGTGGTAATCTGTGAATGATGAAATCGCAATGCGAGCAGAGGAATCATGAGAGCAATAATTGAATAAAAGAGAGAGAAACAAGCTAAGGACAAAACAAAATCCACCAATTCTCCATTCTGTGAGATCGAACTGAAGAATTACAGTCTGTACCCCTTACCACTGACCCGACACTTATCAAAATAAGTTGTCTCATACACAGGAAGCTCTGAACTATACTTGTCATTAATCGCTGCGAGATGATCGAGCTCGAACAGATCTGAGCTCGAGCAACTGGCCGTACCATCATCATCGTCGTCGTCTTCTTCTTCTACTTCTTTTTCACAATGACCCTTCAACTCAAAACCCTTCTTCTGATTCTCGCGATAGTCTCTCAGCAACTCTCTCGCATTCTCTTCGAATCGCCTGCTCTTCTCCATCAGCAGATCTTTCAGATTTAAGCTCCGATCTTGGTCGATTTTTCTAGGCTGAGATTTCCCGATCCTCCAAGCTTTCGGCACCGTGACAGAAACAGAGCTGCTCTGTTTTTCTCCTCCTCCTCCTCCTCCTTCTTGATGTAGGGATTTGTGTCCGCAGGGTCTACAATCCTCATCGACGATGACGCTCACCGGGTAGAAACGGACCGTCCTCTTGGCCCCGCTGCGGAACCGCTCCCGCGTCGAGGGCGAGCGCTTGCTCAGGCACGGCCTCGAGAGCGAAGAAACAGTGGAAAACGCGGAAGCGGAAGAGGAAGAGGAAGAGGAAGCCTGCCCCGACTTCAACTTCCTCTCGAGGTTCGCCTCGGCGGGATCGGACCTCTTCGCGCTCTTCGGCGTCGTGCTGAAGATGGAGTTGATGAAGCTCACCAGCCTCCCGCCGGGCGAGACCGGCTGCTGCTTCACCTTCTTCAGGTTGGCGTAGATCCGCGACGCCGCGGACCTGAGGGCGCTGCCCTGGTCTTCCTGGCCCTCCCTCCGTTCGCCAAACGGAGCGCCCTGCCTCTCGTCCCCTCTGGCGGCGACTCGCGTCCTCACGGGCTTGAGCCTGAACGGTGCGAAGCAAGAGGACGAAGGAGTCGTCTTCGCGCCCCTGACGGACTCGGTGTCCGAGAACGAGAACCCGCCCGAGCTCGTATCGGAAGAAATGGAAGTGGAGCTGAAATACATCCCGTCGCTGTCGAGGTCGGGCTCGTGCTTCGGCTTCCGGAGCAGCTCCTGCGAGAAATGGCCCCTCTTCGCGCCCGCCGCAGCCGCGGGATCAGCCTTGTCGCTGCCACGCTTCTCGACGAAGGAGGCGGGCTGCGGGGTTACCTGAGCACTGCCGCGGGAGCTCTGCTTCTTGGACGGCGCCTCCCTGTGGAACCTTCGTTCTGGCTCGCGCTTCGGCTCGCATTCGTCGATGGATCTGTAGATCTCGTCGAGGAGCGTGGACGAGAAAGACGGGCTGTTGCTCTTCATCTCCCGCAGATGCCTCTCGTCTTTCAGCGACCTCTCGAACCTGTACATCTCTAGAGAGAGAAGGAGAGAGGGAGAGAGAGGATGCTGATGATGCAGATGAAGAAAGGAAGAACAGGGGAAGTGGGAAGGGGAGGCTTTACTTATAAAGCGTGCATGCATGGCCCAATTTGTGCTATAGTAATGGACAGTTTTGGCATGTGCTGAGTGGCGCGTCATTGCCTTTTATGTTTAGCACCAAAACCGCTCCATGCTTAGGAAAGTTAGGAACAATTTACGCTGTTCATTCACAAAAATTGAATCATGTCTTATTGGTTTTGTGTCTCTACCTTCCTTCGCGTAATATGTCACGATAGGGAAAATTACCAAAAAAATCCTAAATCTATTGTAATTGTACCAATTCAGTCCTAAATCTTTTTTTTTGTCAATTCAGTCCTAAACCTTTTGCAATTGTGCTAATTCAGTCCATCTGGTTACTTTTGGCCGGCTGGCGCTGACGTGATAATATTTTAATATTTTTATTTTTTCGAATTTTATTTTATTTTTTTCCTTTCTCTTTTTTTTTTTCTTTTCTTCTTCCCCCTGGCCGGACCAGCCGGGGGGAGGCTTGCCGACGAGGTCAGAGACTGGCAAGGGCGAGCCTCGCCTAGCTCCGGCAAGGCCGGAGCTCACCATGGCTATGCGAGCTCGACCTCGCCCAGATCTGGCGAGGTCAAGCCTCGCCATGGCTGTGCGATGGCAAGGCTCGACCTTGCCGGCACTGGCGAGCTCTGCCCTCGCCGTTGCTGGGCGAGCTCGACCTCACCCAAATCTGGCAAGGTTGAGCCTCGCCATGGTTGTGTAACGGCGAGGCTCACCCTCTCTGGCATTGGCGAGGGCGGAGCTTGAAATTTTTTTTATTTTTTTGACCTTTCCTTCTTCCCCCGATCCGGTGGTCGGACCAGCCAGGGGCTAGGGCCAGCGAGACCTGGGAGGCTCGCCCTCGCCGGCATTGGCGAGGGTGAGCCTCGCCGTCGCTGGGCGAGGCAAGGGTGGAGCTTGCCATGGCTGGGTGAGGTCGAGCTTGCCCAGCGTCGGTGAGAGCAGAGCTCGCCCAACGCTGGCGAGGGCCGGCGAGGCTGGCGAGCTTCGCCCTCGCCAGCGCTGGGCGAGGCTCGCCCAGCGACGGTGAGGCTCGCCCTTGCCAGTGTTGACGAGGGCGAGCCTCCCCAGTGGCCGGTGAGGTCACCTCGCCAGCGAGCCTCCCCTTGGCTGGTCCGGCCAGGGGGAAGAAGGAAAGAAAAAAAAAAGAGAAAGAAAAAAAAAATTTTGAAAAAAAAATATTAAAATATTGCCGCGTTAGCGTCGACAGGCTAAAAGTGGATGGATGGACTGAATTGGCACAATTGTGAAAGGTTTAGGACTGAATTGGCAAAAAAAAAAAGATTTAGGACTGAATTGACACAATTGCAATAAATTTAGGACTTTTTTGGTAATTTTCCCGTCACAATAACATCAATTTCATCTCTAGCTTTTCTCGACCGGTCGTTCGATTTCCGCTGAGTATTTTTACGTGCGCATGCTTGTAGTTAATTTTGAAGGTGGATAATGCCTGAATTTGTATTTCGGTAATCATGGGTGTGATTGAAAATGAAATATATGAGCAGAGAAAGATACAACCCTTTTTTGGTAATGCTATCGATCTACGATCATCTAGATATTCACCATGAATCCGGTCTCACCTAATGTGCCTAACTAAAATAAAACGTGTGCTCATTCTTTTGGAACCGGACTTTTATTCTATGGGAGGTCCACGCATGTCATACCAAAAAAAAAAAAAGGGGTGCGAGTGGCAAAATTGATGGCGCACCTATAATCAAAATTAAACTTATTTACTAACATCAATATTTAAATGTTAAATCACGCCTTCATCTAGCCGTATGAACTTTTACAATAATCGGTAGTGATCCCGCAAGATTTTATAAGGTATCGAGCATGAGGTGATGAATTTGAATTTTTTCAGGCCCTTCTTATGCATTCCTTATCATATAAACCCGTGTTTAGTCTTAGGTCAGAGTCTAGCATATGCATGAGGGCGAGTGCTATTTCGGACTGTTGGCAGAGATTTCACCAAGTTTTGCGATCATTTTGGCGGTCACTATTTTCCGGATTTTGGTGGTACTACACATTATCTTTTGGATAAATGAGTGCATCTACATCATAAACTTTTCCTAGGACCATCCAACTAGACCATCCAACTAGATCACTATTCATAAAAGGGTCTATTAAAGCGATTCAAGCCAACGGGTCTCCCAATCTCCCGACAGATTGGTTGAGCAAATGTACGAAATTGTATAGATATCGAAAAATGGCTAAAGTATTTCACATCCTATATTATACGAAAATCCTAACTTTCTCGAAATAAAATTTTTCTTTTTTTGGTAAGTAAATCTTGGAACAAATTAGGGAAAATGTTTCAAGAAAATATCTTGGAATATAAATTCTCTATCTCGTTCTTTTGGATTTGAGACTCTCATTATGTAATGTGTACGTATACACTCGCGAGAGTTGCTTTTAGGAGGAGAGCTCTAATTTTACGGCATTTATTGTTTAAAGATTGATGCAATGAATGATCAACTCTTATACGACTTAAGTGGTAAAAGCCGTATAAAGCACCTAGGGATAATTACCAAAAAAATCCTAAATCCATTACGCTTGTGCCAATTCAGTCTAAACTTTTTAATTTGGCCAATTCGGTCTTAAATCTTTTGACGATTTGTCAATGTGGTCCTTATGGCCAATTTTGGTCGGAAACTGTTGACGTAGATGCTAGCCGTCTTACATGGCACGCCAACACTAACGTGGACAATTTTTGTAATTTTTAAATAATTTTTTTGACTTTTTTTCATTTCATTTCTTTTTTTTTTCTTTTCCTTTTTCCATTTTCTCTTATTTCCCTCCACCGGTCCGCAGCCTTGGCGGTGGCCGACAAGAGTGAGCTCGCCTAGATCTAGTGAGGGTGTCGTGGCCCTCGCTGGCCAGAGGGAGGGCTTACGAGCCCTCGCCAAGCGCCGGTGTGGGTTGCCAGCCTCATTTAAAAGAATAAAAAGAAAAAAAGAAAAGAGAGAAAGAAAGAAAATCAGAATTAATAATAAGAAATTAAAAAAACTATCCACGTCAACTCGGTCATACCATGTTAGACAACCAGCATTTACGTTAGTGACTTCCAGCCAAAATTGGCTAGATGGAGTATATTGACAAATTGATAAAAGATTTACAACTAAGTTGGCCTAATTGAAAGGTTTATGACTAAATTAGCATAAATGCAATATGTTTAGGACTTTTTTTTAGTAATTTGATAATAAATACACTATGCAAAGAATTCGTTAGAAAGAGAAAGATATTTTCAAGATTTGTAATTCTCTTAAGGAAGGTTGTTGCACCTGCATAGGGTAGAATACAAATTTTAATGCTGAAACAACATATGGAAGATAAATAGCATTACGAATTTACGCAGGCTCTTCTACTTAGAAGCGAAATGAATTAGATCCCGAAGCACGGATTTCTCGGTTCAAAAAATAAAAATAAAAGTATCAAACCATTTCTTTCTACTCTTTTCCAAATTCGATTGTTCCATGAGATACTTTAAAGAAAGGAAAATGTTTTCAGTAGTCATCGTCTTTTTTAATGTGATCGCTGAATTCAATCCCGATAATATAAAATTCTGATAAATCTATCGCATTGCTATTGGTTTTACTCATTGTGCATAGTACCATAGGTTGAATTCGAGCAAAGACACCACGCGATATCTTCGATACTGCTTTTGGCTATCATCAGATGGTGGGATTTTATGATTTTTTTACTCATGTTTTTTTGCACCAACCGCCATTAATGCTTATGCTTCCTATATCTTGTGAGATGGAAACGTCCTGGCATGTTTCTGCCTGCTACATACGTTGTCCTTGTCGAAGAATCACATGATATTTTCATTCATCCCATTAGTGCTAGGACACTGCTGGATCATGAATCATCTTCATCATTCCATGCATCGCCCCAACTCTCTTGACGGTGGAGAAGCAAAGGGGTCACTTAAATGCTCATGAGGAGCCGTGGCTGGAAGAAGAAAAAGAAAGAAAGAAGGAAGCTCGTGAAGAGAATTCCAGATTAGTGAAGCATTCAAAATGACCAATTTTTGTAATTCAAATCGGGTTACTGCTCACTTGCAAATCGATGCTATTTTGGAAGGTTAACTTCGATTTGATACGAGAAAGATATGAAATTCTTTTAGGGTGTTTTGAATCGGGGTTTGAACATACTTGAATATCGCGCGCGATGGCTCTTTAGTGATGGTGCACCTATGTACAATAGGTGGTCTCCATTGACCCGACTCTTATATTAATTAGAAGATAATTGAGGAGCTAGATCCACCGTATATGCAAACAGTGTCCTGGGGGGGTTCCCCTTGGACCACCCCTACAAACCAGCACGTGACCCATTAATTGCTGTAGCCCCAAGACGGAAACCTCTGGCACGTGCGGTTAAGGAGGGGGAGGGGGGGTGTCCCAAACGCAATGCCAACATACATGTATAAGCACGTGACGAGGCATTGACCCGACTTGACCCGTGTACAGATCTATTGGGTGGGGGAAGATCGTGCATGATGTGGTCCATCACTCACTTCACTTGGAGAACCATCCTTTACCAAGGAACATAACAAAGAAGACATTAAGGCTCCTCAAGGGATCAAAGTCCAACAACCTGCCATAGCAAGCACAATAAAACACTTCAACGGAACGGTCGAGACAAATTCATTACGATTTGGCGCCGGCTAATAATTTTTCAGGAAATGACTTCGCGAGAAGTTACAGAGACCCGCGAGGGCAATTTAACCGTCCTCATTGGAAGAAAACACGTTGTGTACCCAAGATGAGAGTGGTAATTTCACTCAAAAATTAAGGATAAAAGAAGAGAAGATGGAACGGGAATATTTTGAAAGAGACGTGGAGGGAGTGGCATTGGGATCCCAAAGCAAAAGGGTCGAGTAGAGGCGAGGAGGTAATGTCTTGAAGCGAGAAAAGCATGGAGCTCTCTTCCCAAGAAAAGCAGCAGCAGCAGCAACAGCAACTGAGCAGATAGAAGAAGAGACAGAGAATGATAAAGCAACTATATCTTCCTTAGGGCTAGTAGAATTAGGTAGCGCATGATAACCATTCTGGTTCTGTCCAGAACTGATTTTTTGCTCCCAGAAATAGTTTTGGACCAGAAACCCGTTTGGTAACGTAATTTCATTATTCTATTTCTGGAATAACTTTTTGTTCCAGAACCGATTCTGAACCAGAAATCAGAACAAAAAAAAAAGTAGGTTTTCTATTTCTAGATAAAAAATGAGAATCATTTCTGAGAGAACTCTTTCTTCAAAATACATGTTTATCTGGAAGTCACGATCTTTGAGGTGGAAAAAAAAAGAAAAAAATCAAAAATTTCAAAACTTCACAGAATGGTTTAGAATCTGTGCCTACCCACTTTGAGAGAAATTTAAATTTTTTTAGGTGTCGAAAAAAATAAAAAAAAATCAAAAATTTCAAAATTTCACAAAATGGCTTAGAATACCTATGGTCACCCACTTTAAGAGAAATTTAATTTTTTTTAGATACAAAAAAAAATAATAAAAAAATCTAAAATTTAAAAACTTCACAGAATGTCTTAGAATACCTATAACCACCCAATTTGAGTGAAATTTAATTTTTTTTAGGTGCCGAAAAAAATTAAAAAAAGCAAAAAATAAAAATTTCAAAACTTCACAGAATGGCTTAGAATACCTGTGACCATCCACTTTGAGCGAAATTTTAATTTTTTTAGGTGCCTAAAAATATAAAAAAATAAAAAATTTCAAAACTTCACAAATTGGCTTATAATACCTGTGGCCACCCACTTTGAGCGAAATTTCATTTTTTTAGATGCAAAAAAAAAATAAAAATAAGCAAAAAAGCAAAAATTTCAAAATTTCACAGAATTGCTTAAAATACCTGTGGCCACCCACTTTGAGCGAAATTTTATTTTTTTTAGGTGCCTAAAAAAATATAAAAAAGCAAAAAATCAAAAATTTCAAAACTTCACAGAATGGCTTAGAATACCTGTGGCCATCCACTTTGAGCAAAATTTAAATTTTTTTAGGTACCGAAAAAAATAAAAAAAATAAAAAATTTCAAAACTTCACAGAATTGCGTAGAATACCTGTGGCCACCCTACTTTGAGCGAAATTTAATTTTCTTTAGGTGCCGAAAAAAAATAAAAATAAGCAAAAAAGAAAAAATTTCAAAACTTCACAGAATGGCTTAGAATACCTGTGGCCACCAACTTTGAATGAAAGTTTATTTTTTTAGGTGCCGAAAAAAAGAAAAAAAAGCAAAAAATCAAAAATTTCAAAACTTCACAGAATGGCTTAGAATACATGTGGCCATCCACTTTGAGTGAAATTTAATTTTCTTTAGGTGTCGAAAAAAAATAAAAAATAAAAAAATAAAAAATACCATTTGGGCACCTAAAAAAAATTAAATTTCACTCAAAGTGGGTGGCTAGAGGCATTTTAAGTCATTCTGTGAAGTTTTAAAATTTTTGATTTTTTTTATGTTTTTATTTTTTTTTTCGGCACCTAAAAAAATTTAAATTTCAATCAAAGTGGGTGGCCACAGATATTCTAAGTCATTCTATGAAGTTTTGAAATTTTTGATTTTTTGCTTTTTTTTCACCTGAAAAAATTAAAATTTCACTCAAAGTGGATGGCTACAGGTATTCTAAGCTATTCTGTGAAGTTTTGAAATTTTTGAGTTTTTGAATTTTTTTGGGCACCTTAAAAAATTTAAATTTTGCTCAAAGTGGGTGGCCACATGTATTCTAAACTATTCTGTGAAGTTTGAAATTTTTGATTTTTTGATTTTTTTTTGGGCACCTAAAAAAATTTAAATTTCACTAAAAGTGGGTGGCCACAGGTATTTTAAGTCATTGTATGAAGTTTTGAAATTTTTGATTTTTTTTTGAAAAAATTCAACAAATTTCCTATTTTCCTGAAATCTGAATTTTTTTATTTTTTGGAAATTGTGATGAATTTTTCTAGAATTTTTCAATTTTTTTTGGATTTTTTGAATTTTTTTGAGATTTTTAGGAATTTTTTGGATTTTCTAATTATTTTTATTCCATTTCTAAAAAAATGAATTTTTGTTCCTGGAAATAGAATTTTGTGTTGTTTATCAAACAGGTTTTTGTTTCAGGAAATAGAAATTTTGTGTTGTTATCAAACGGATTTCTGTTCTAAAAATAGAAATTTTTGATCGTTATCAAACGGGTTTATTTTCTCAGAAACTCATCCTTGAACCAAAAATAGAAAAATCTATTTCTGTTTTAGAAACTCATTCTGGAACAGAATGGTTAACATTCGCTAGCTTATTTGCCCTGTTTCAAGGACTTAGCAAGCAAGCAGTCCCTGACAAAGGGGGCAGTCTCATGTTTTCTGTGAGGCCACGTGCACTTCGTGGACTACGATTTTCGGGCCCAACTTGGCTGATCTTTCTTGCAGTTGGGGTTCACCATCATCGCGTGCACTGCATGCTCCTTGCTTCCCTCAATGCTCTTTCTCAATTAGAATTCCTATACAGCATTGTGCTTGGTCTCTTTGGTGACATCCGATGAAAGCGGAACGACGCCAGGACATTGTATTTAGCCGTTGAATGTAACATAAGATGGTCCTGTGGCTCGCCAAGTCCATCCACCGAATCGTAGTGCATCGGAAAAGAAAGATCTCGGTTCAATACAAATGCGCTAGACATTGCCGGGGGAGTATATAAGAGAGTTTATTACAAGAAGATTCCCCCTTGGGAATTGCTGTTTGGTACGGTGTTTCTTTAACCATTACAACACCGGACGGACGGCCATTTTTTGATCATCTGTACTGGAGAAGCTTCTTAGGAGTTCAATCTCTGGAAATCAACCAACTGGTAAAGATCCCCTCGCCGTTGCTTCTCCAACGGGAGATTAGTCCTGTGCATTTCAATCAGCAAAATCATTTGACAGTTTCCTCTTTCCTTCTAAATGGAAAATGTCAAGAATTAGCAATATGAAAATAAGGCTAAAAAGCAATATGAAAATAAGGCTAAAAAGAAGATCACCTTCTCATCTCCATCTCGGAATAATCGATATCCGCAATGATAATGGCCTCCTCGTGCTCTGTTGTCGCCAAAACTTGTCCAAACTATCACATGAAATCTTCCCAGTCAGCTTTTTGTGGCTTCTTTTGATGGTTCATAACTAAAACCCCTTACTTGAACCCTACTGAGAAGTATACACTTACCGGTCCAATCAAAGTGGAGTGCCCCCAAGCCACATAACCAGCCCCAGCATCCCGAGCAGGTGAACAAGTTGCAACATACAACTGTCATTCATCGATATAACTGGTTAACTAAAAAACATCCTAAATTTAATAGAAAAACATACCGACGTTCAGATATAGGAGTTCTGAGAAACATGCCACTCATTGAAGTCAGTGTTTTGGTCAAACAAGAAGCAGATTACAAGTTGCCAGAGACACGAAAAAAACAGCATCACTTTGAGAAGTCACAACCATGATGAAATCTCCTGAATAAAGTACTAAGCATTTTTAGTTGAGACAAAAGTACGATTGGGTCAAAATTCAGAAAGAGATGAGAAACATTCAATATTTTATTTTAGAGGATCCCAAATCATGATACTGACTGCATATCACATTTTCCCCATCATATTGACATTGATGCTCTGTATATTTTGTTGATATCTTATGTAGACACAGAAAGGGAAGAACTTGTGATGCCATGGCAAGAGAATTCTTTCCAGATGAAAAATGAGCAAAATTTATCATTGAAAAAAAAAAGGGACAGACATGACAACTATGGAAGTAAGACATAACGAAAAGTTTTTTTTTTTTTTTGGTTGCACACCATTATACTGAGAATTTTACAAATCATACTATCAACTCTGCCAATTGAATCCAGGACAAGTATGGACATTTTATGCTTTTCAAATGAAACAAGTAATCTTTCAGAGACCAACAAAAAGAAATCAGGTTAAAGGACCTCCCCCACTCTGGCAATAAATAACGTTGCCAAGGTCCAGGGAAATGCAATGACCTTAATTTGAAATATAGAAATAGCATGACATTATTGTATTGCTTCTCATTAGCAAAAGCAGATCATTCCCATCCAGGAATCACTCCCACTAAGCTCGTAATTGATCTGATGCACCAACAGGAGGCAAGTAGTCACTTATGAGCAATAGGGCTTTTATTGCAAGAACTAGTAATATATACAACCATGCCATCGAGCTCATTGCCAAGAAACCTAGGATCAAGTCCCATTACTATACCTGATTATCTACAGCCCTGCACATTATGAAAAAACAGAAGAAGAAAATCAGTAGAATGATCACTATAGTCATAATAAAGCTAAATATGACATGGACCACATTGTCAAATGTGAAATCATATGCAATAAGATAATCCTAAATATTACAACAGTGAAAGCATTTAATAATGTGTTGAAGACTTGTCAGTGCGCCACCTTTTCTATCATTAAAACTAAGTATCATCTAAAGATGATGGCCAAAGAATAGATCATTGCTGATAAAGGATGCAAAACTAAAAATTGGCATAATCTCAAAACAGATGTAAAACCAAATGTTGCAGAGCATGCGATCTTTCTTCAATCTCCAACACAAATTTCCCTGCTATTCAGGGTAACAAGCCATAAAAAACATGATAAAGAAAAAGAAAATTCATAAAAATGGCACAATAACAACTTCAAATAGCATAATAGTGAAAAGAGGTTCTTGGGTGAAATGTATAATTACCTAGCTCTCTGGAGTAGCTCCCAATGCAATGGTCCAGTGGTCATATTAAAGGCCCCAGGATAGCAAAGCAAATGAGCACCTATGCAAACAAGTAACAGTGCAATTCAAGTGTATGGAAAGTTCAAATCACTTCTGAACCCCATCTACATGATAATAAAAGGAAAGACAATTCCAGAATGCGCTACAAACTAGAATACCCACACTATGGGGATATTATCTAACAACCTAGATCCATTTATGCAGAATAGAACACCAAGAGTTCAGCATCATATAACTTTATTATCAATGTATCAGTGCAAATATATTTAGTAGAATGATATTGTCGATAAAAGGCCAGTTAGCAACACCGATAGCAAACCTCATTAATCTAGGAAAGAAACTCAAAACAGTTTAATAGTGGAGGAGGCAAAACTCGCTAAGTAGGACCTCTATATTGCAAAGAGATACCTTCTATACAAAAAGCAATGGAGGACATATAGCAATATCGTAAAAGCATTTATACAGCTAAGCCCCCTTTGTGCAAGGCTTAGTTTGCTGATGTTCAACTTAAAAATCATCGGAAGGGATAAAACGAAAATAAATCAAAGGAAAACAATCCAAAGGTCCACCACTTAAGACACACATGTTTACTGCCAGAAATCTTCTTACTTTCGAACTGCATAGACTGGGCCAGTGGCAGGCCCAGCACCAGTATGCAGTCAACATTGTAGGAAATGCAAAATAGACAAAGAGGAAATGAAACCTACCTCTTGCAGCATAAATCATTGCCAATTCCTGAAACCGAATATCATAACAGATGCCTATACCAATACGTCCAACATCTGCATAGAGCCAAAAAAGAAAAAAGAAAAGAAAACAACTTAAACAACAGATAGAGCTATCAAAAACCATTAAACATAGATCTGTGTGAACATTTGGGCCTACTTAAGAAAGGAAAACAAGAAAGGGTTCATTTCCATATTCAGGTGAGCAAAATTCAGCAAAGATAATCCACTTATCAATACACTCTCCGCAACACTACCGATCTTCAGAGTCAAGTTCCAAATTCGGCATTTACATTACATATTAGTGTAGATGAAAGCACAGTAACATTATGCTAGCATTATCAAGATAAATCTCATGTAAGGTCTAGTATTATTAAATCAGTCAATCATGCACAATGATTCACCTTGTATTTGGGGGAAAATATAACCCTTCGCTAATCACAAGAGAGTTTATGACATGCAGCACTTTGAGGATACTCATAATGCGAACATAGATTTATATATAGCGAATAACTTATGAAATGACCTTGCATCTGAAAAACTTCAAGTTTAAAAGTTATTCTCATTTACTGATTTACATGATGAAACTTTGAAGAACTTCACAATTCCAGCAATACAAGTGAATATAACCAACCATAATGAGTACAAACATGATATCTAGAATTTCATAACAGAACTCATAGGCAAAGGAACGTTTTATCATATTAAATTTCAAGACGTGCTTTACCTGTGTCCACTATTGTTGGAGTTTCTCCTGCCGTGAGAGTCTTTGACTCCATAAATGTGATCTTCCCAGGTATATCAATATCAAAAAGATGTATCTGCATCCAATAACCATGTCCACAATTTGATTCAAGAACTAGTGGCATGCTGTGGTAAAGCGAAAAGGAAAAGAAAAAAGAGAAAAAGAACTAGCAGCAACAAGATGGTTTCCCACAACATATACAAGATTTGGCAGAATTTGATCATAGGACATCAAAGCATCACAGTCCGGTCAACTCCAAAAATTGACAAAAAAATGAATTCGTAATTTGATTATTTGTGTGACCCTTCAATTATTCTACCTAAATGGTGTCTATGTTGCACGATCTATTTAAGCTGACAAAAGGTCCACAGTCCTGATCCAATACTGTACATTCATGCAAGTGACCGTTTTATATTTCTATACAGTACAGCCATACAAAGACTTTAGGACCAATTAAGCTGGTGACTACCTTTTTAATCAATCATATCCAACTTCCTCCCAGACCAGAAGACTCATGCAAATAAATGTTCCATACATAGTTACTTAAGGAAAGAAAAGTCACCTTGCGGTGCTTGGCTTTCAGCACTCCATCGGAGCCAAAAACACAACAAGTGTTGTACAATCGATCACCACATCTTTCTGGGATTGAACCACCCACTATGGTAACCTTCAGGGCCTTGGCAGCTTCAGATAACATAGCAGTTGAAGGAGATGAACCTCCATCAATGTCCTCAGCATAAACAGGGAAGCTATCATTTGAATAGGGACTGTTCCATATTTCCTGGTACAGAGTGCACAAAATCATGAGGCAAGCTGCGTGATTTTTCCCTCCTTTTTTTTAGAACATTGCGGACTGCAAATAATGGCTGATTTTATTGGAAGACAAAGTTTGCAGTATGAAAACATAGCCATTACATAAGCATCAATAAGAACTTGGCCACAGACAGTCACCCAAAACTGATGAAACAAACATGTGCCCGCTCAAGTTGCTCCTATCTATTCTTTCTTCTAGCGTACGCCTCCACCAAAAGGGCATTTGATAAGGTATACAAAGTCTTTGTAAGCCATAAATTACCATTTTGCAATCAGGAGGCACATCCAAACTTTCCGCAGCTACACGAAAATGCTCAACGACCCTTTTCATCCAACACAGGCTACATTTACCTAAACATCTACTAAGTCTACCTAGTGCAGAGAGACTCACGGGCAAGAGAACAAGCTGAACGCCCTTGTCAACGGCCTTGCGAATCGCCTCACGAGCATGCGCAATGTTCCTCTCCTTATCCGCCGTCACCGAAAGCTGGCACAGCCCGATCTTAAACTGAAATCACAACACCCCAAAAAAGACGTCAAATTTCGAGGTCACGTGATGATCAAAGTCGAGGGTGTTCGAGCCCATGCCTTGGCGAGGGGAGGATTGGGTAGAGGGAGCGCCGGCGGAGCCCTCGCCTGCTCGGGCTTGAAGGAAGCGGCCATGACGGCGGCGGTGGAGAAACCGGAGGTCCCGATTCGGAGGCCGACACGGCGGTTCGCGGCGCGATCCGGGCCGCTGGCTCCGGCGCCGACAAGGAAGCTGGAACGGTGGAGAGGCTTCGGGAGGAGGAAGGCGGAGCGAGAGAGCGAGGCTTTGTTGTAGCAGAGGAGTGACGAGAGTGACGCTGACGATTTCATCTCTCTCCGCTGTCTCCCTTTGTACTTTCGCTTTCTGGTCCATTGATTGCTGGAGGAAGAAGAAGACTTTCGCTACGGCGTCGTTCGGGAGATGAAACGGAATGTCGTTTCTTTTCGAGGTATGCAAAGGAATCGGGAATCGTCCGAAACGGACCGAACTGGATCCCAATTTTAATTCACTTTAACTGATGAATACTGATCTGGTTCCCGCTTCCAATAGTTGTATTACTCATCTGGATTGGACTGGTATATATACATTAATTGATAAATGTAATTTTATAGAGATTGATGATTGATTTTATGGACCTACCTAGGAACCATACCGGACAGGATCGGTGGTCTGGTTCCCGGGCGGTTCTCGATTTAAATTTTCCTGAACCGGTTTTTAGTGAACGATTCTCGGTTCCAAAGTAAGAACTGCCCATCCAGACTATGATTCTTTCTTTCCTTTATTGCTTTCATATGAGTTTTCCATCCTGGAAAATAAAATTCAATATGAAGAAGTTATTTATGAGATACACTGTATTTTTCAATTTAATTTTTAAATTTACATCAAGCAGATTGCATTAGTTATTAATGAGTCATGGCTAAAATAAAGAGTATAGTTTTGGTATAAACTGTTATTCTTCTTTTTGTTGTTGTTCAAATTAACTGACTTTATTCAATAAGTTTGAAATTTACTTAATGAGATGAGTAAGTTTAAATTATAAACAATATCTAGTGACAAGATATATTTTCCTGTTTGATGTTACCATTTTATTTTAACGAAATAAGATATATCTCTTTAATTTTCACTCTGATCAATTTTACGGTAATATCTAAATGAAGCAAATTTCTTTATGAAAAGAAGTTTATTCATGTGATGAAACACACCATACTTCAAATAAAAACTCACTACTTACTTAATCATGACATATATCTCGTGCGTAACTTTTTTCTCAATGTTCTACTACAATGAATAATCGAAAATAACGTATACACTATTCTCATGATGATATATGCTATCATTTTTACTTTTAGATATTATAAGTTCTTTTCAAAAGAAATATTTTTGAATCACACGATTACGAAACTCAATTATTACACGTGAATACAAATTATCAGCCGAACATTGCGCACCAATTTGGACACCTAGAAGAATTGACAAAATTATATATTTATTTGCACTTCATAATTAATAATTAATAACGTTGAAAAACATAAAAAAGGGGAAATTCTCGGAAAATGTCCAAAGACTCGCTGCCGTGGGACTCGAACCACCTGATCGAAACTCAAAACTTTCGGACCGAAATGAAAAAATAACCGCTACTGTCTCAACGGTCGTTAACCGCCTCTTTCCCGCCCTTTTTCCATTCCACTCGCACCTCTTGGAACAAAAACTCCTAGTCACTCACCAATCTTCGATCACTCTATTTGATTATAAACACAGAACAAAACGTCTCTCCCTTCGTAGAGATCCTCTCAAGCACCGGCAAAACGGTGCTCGAGAACGACTCGCCATTCGCACGATACAAGCTGCTCCGGACGGTCAGTCATGCATGGCGGATCCGAAGGCGGCAGCGCCGGGCAGTGAGTCCGACGATGACCTGTACGGTGACGACTATCTCAAGTATCTCCTCCTGAACCCCGAACCCGGTCTCGAGGACGATCTGCCGCCGTTTGATCCGCAACTTGCTGCAAAGTCCAATGAGAACACCCCTCTGCCCGACGATGGGATTGGGGATCCGGACCCATTTGACGATCCCGCCGTTTGGCACATGTTTAGTGGACAGCGTGGTAGCGGGAATGATGGGGCCGGTTTGTCCCATGCGGGTCCCTCGGGGACGAGCAGTGGCGGCGCTGAGGATTGCTACTATCCACAACCGGAGGATTGGAACTATTTCGTGCCGAGGCTGCTCGCGAATTGGCCAGCGCCGCCGCTTCCATACAATTGCAGTTGTTGTCATGTGCTTAGAGAGATCATTCATACTCATGGTGCGTTCGATTACTCTTTCAATGGGGTAGAAACTTTTCTTGATGATTAGTCTGTGTGAGTAGTTCAGGTACGGTCGAACACAGTCGACAAGTTCTGGGATTGATCAGGCGCTGATGGTTTTTGCTATTTACTAATACTTTTTGCAGCGACACTTCTAGTGTTTGTTGTTCGAATGTTGTGTTATTTGCTAATTTCTATTGCAGCGACACTTTCTAACATAAGTTCTTTGAAAATTTTTAGTGGAAACCCATCATACCACAAAACTCGAACTCCATGGAAGAGTTGGTATGGTCAGTCACGCGATTCTGGACACTCAGCACAATCCTGGTGCGATACCATCCAACGGCAACCATCGGTATCAAATGTTTGAGTAAGAACTTCAATTAATCTTTGCCCTTAAAAAATTAGATGACAATTCTTTTTTTGGAAATCGGAGTTCTGAATATGTATCGTGCAGCAATATAGTCCTGTCTTTCTTGCTTCCATTTCAGTTTTTGCAAGAAAAGCATACAGAATGTGAAGGATTTTCTGCAGCAATACTGTGAGGGAAGGAGGCTGGCTGGCTACATCATGTACCAGGATCCGCTTGCCATGTTCTACGAAGCTGTGTGCGTGGGAATAGATTTCAATGGCAATGTAAATGCCGATTATTTTCAACTACCTCCGCCTCCGACTGTTTCAGGTGATGCACATGTATTCGCACTTCTTCGAGTTACAACATTAAAAGCCTCACATATGTAATTAGATTCAAGTTCCCATCAATCTTTTGAATGACTTGAAGTCGTAGAACGTGTTTTGTTTATTGATTCGTATTTTTCTTTGTTTGAAGCAGAGAATCCCCAGCAAACGGAGAAGCCAAAACCGAAGAAACGACAGGCGAAGTCTCTGAAAACCGGGCTTGCAGCACAGGTTATTGCTTTTCTAGAATTATATACTGTGTATGTGTGTTCTGTACAGCCTTTTATGCTACGACAAACAATCATATTTCTTAATGAATCTCTCTTATGACTGTTGTATATAAGTGGAACCGATATCCGGAGTTCTGTTCTTCGCCAAATTATTCTCGCAAACAGTTTTTGCGTGGATTCTGTTGAAATATATATTACTCCATCAATCTTTTACACTCTAGGACTTGGCCTTTAGAATAACGAACTTGTCGCTTGCATTGAACTCATCTTTTTCGTCCATTATTCTAAAACGGCTGTATTTATGTGCTGAGATTAGTGCAGAGGGAGAGAGCGGGAAAGATGACGCTGGGAGATGTCGGAGGTTACTTTCATCTTCCGATCGAAAAGGCTTCTGAAAGATTGCGTTTATGTCCTACCGTTGTCAAGAAAATTTGCCGAAAAGGTGGAGTGGGACGGTGGCCTTATAGAAAGGTTAACTCCCTTTTGTTTCTCTTGGTTCTCGAATTGATATTTGCCCTTCCAAAAATTTTCCACTTCAGCCAAATCTCGGTTTTCTGCAGGTTCAATGTATCGAGAGAAAGATCTTGGAATTAAAGGAGCAGCTAAAGAGAGAAGACGAACCGAAAAGGAGTCGCACCCAAGCAGAGATCGAGGAATGGCAACGAAAATTGGACAAGATCCGCTACGGAGTTGCTAGAACAGAGTAGTACGACGTTTACTAAGTCGGATATATTCTTACGCTGCAGAGACTTCGAGACCTTGATGAGTCTTATGCTTTGGTCTTTCGGCACATTTTTGTTTGTGTACAGTGGCGCCGTGAGCGAAGCGAGGACGAGACTGCTACTCTTTCGTGCTTTTTACTCAATCTGTGATCAGAATTTCTTGTTAAGCCTCGAAAGAGTAGAGAACATTTTTTGTGTGAAATTCTGTACGGTCTCTATTCGGCTGTTGGTGCAGCACAAGTTGGTCAGGTCTACTATTATAATTTGTAACCTAACTTAGCCGGCTCGCTTGTCATTATTCTAATTAATTAAGTACATGACTCTGTTACCATATGGCATAGGAAGAGTCTCCAAGCTGTTGAGAGAATATATGATCTGGACGTGAAATCCTAGACACAGACCTTGGAGTGTTCGTACATCCTCACAAACTTCTCTAGGACAGACAGCGAAACCTCTTCTAGGATATAAACTGCGTGAATAGTGTTTCCATGGAGAGGTACTGGCGTGTTTTTGGAAGGAGAGACAACATGGGCAGCACTCAGATGACGGTGCTGTGCGTGAAACGGGTGAAGCAGGAGGTGCCGGAGGACTGGGATGAGAGCATGCCGCTGCCTGGGGACATCATCGAAGGGTTTGCGGAGGATGACGCGGATGTGTTCGTGCTGACCAAGGCCCGGTCAGAATTCAACTCGCAGCTCGGCAAGATCAGCCAGCAGGCTGAGACTTTGTGGGTGAAGGTGAGGAGGGGTGACCGTGTGATTAAGCTCCAAGTGCGCATCGTGCCTCTTAAGGGCGCGATGCTCCAGAGGAGGTTCACAATCCAAGCTGCTACGGACGATAGACGTGGTGGTTTTAGGGGATTTAAACCTGGAACAATGTACTGAATTGCTAGGTAGCTGGTGCCTTCTTTCCTCAATCTACCTTCACTTGATGTTATGGGTTTAGACATTACGAAAGATGTGGTGAGTGCCAACTGCCAAGTAATCTCACGAAAGAGATTTTGAGTTGTTCTTCAAACAATAGAATTTTGACACATCATTTACTGAACGTGTTGAGGACTGAAGTCTTAGTATCTCTAGTTGTACTCGATTGGTTTTACTTGTTCAAAGTTTCCCTCTAGAGATGATAAAACATAAGCCTTCAGACTGAAACTTCACGATAGTAAATCACGGAATGCTTTTGCTGGGCAAGAGGTCCGGGAGACAAAATCAGGAAGATGAAAGTCCATCAATTATGGTAGTTCAAGATTAATTTCAATGTGCTGCAAACATTCATCCAGACAATGGTCCTGCTAGGATCATGGCTGGTAGATATTACCTCATAGAACATTCATTTGAACAAGCGTGGGTGTTATATCGTGCAAAGTGATAAGATGAGGACTTTCCATCTGACGATGCAGAAATGAGCAGGCGGGTGGTGAACGTGGACACGGGAGGATTCAAGAAGAAAGGAATGCGATATGACTGGAAGACGAAAGTCGGGACCTATTTGCCTGATCAACGGTGTTCGGTAGTTTGCTCCATTCTGTTAATGCCTCTGCCAGGTGCACACACCATTGAGGCCACCACAACTCGGTCCATGGCCTGGTTCTCTGCATCAGTTTCCTCAGGAATTCCTCTCATCTTTGTCAACATCCAAACCGAACAGATCGTCACATCGGTAAATTCTCTCTTCCATGAAGATTCTTCGCCAAGCTCTTGAGATCTGTTCATAATTTAGCTCCTTCATGTCAATATAGCTTTTAATTCTTGGCATGGTGAGTAACTGATTCCTGTCTTTTCCTCACTAAGGGCAAGAATATCCCCACAGGAAAAGAAATTAGTTTGTGGAAGCAACATAACCAGACAATGACTGTCCAAATGGTTCATGCGATAAGATTATGGTTTTTACCGGGAATTGCAGAGGTTTCAGTAGAACTAGTCCCCGAACCCGGAGAAACACGGTTCGGAATGGACATCAAACGAACTAATCGTCATAATCACAGAAATAACATTTTATTAGCTGATATTCTTGCAGAAATTGATCTGACTTGTTCCCCCGCACAGGGCTTCATCTGCATCTTCGCCGTGACCAAAGGATCGGCAGCCGATCGTGCCGGGCTTGGATGCATCCACGAGGAGGCCCATGCAGCTGGGCACCTGCTTGTGGTCTCGAGATTAGAAGGCAAAAGCCTGCTGCCTTCAAATGTGTGCTATGAAGGGCTAATATACTGCTGTGAGCACAGTGACATCAGAGAAGTCCTCACCGCAGCCATCGACACGATGGATAGGATCAAAATCCACAACATGGGTTGGCCCAACCAAACGCGCCTCAATACATCCCCAGCGATGGGCGCGGCGGCTCTCCGTCCTCCTAATGTACATTGTTCACCTCCTCTGCTGCTAAAAAAATGAAAGTTAATATAAGGATTATGCGCCAACAAATTTTTTACACATGTTATGCAAGGAAGAATCGAAACATTCTCAAGAATTCTTTGCCATGTTTTCTGAATGCGGTGGAGCCAGTGATCCGAGTATGTAACATGCTTAATTTTGTCACATGACTTGGTTTTCTTGCTCTTTCTTTCTGGGAAGGAACTTAACAGGTCAAATTGGTTCGGACAATTTTGGCTTTCCCTTCACCGATTTATGATCATTTCTTTTTGCTTATCACACCTTCAAATGTAAATTAATCTTTGCTACTATTTTGGTAGGAAGGCTAATCGTAAATGCGCTCATGACAATAGTGCTCATTTCAAGCATCTTCCTAACACAATCCATAAAGTTGCAGGCTCAAATAAGACTATAACAGAAGTTTTTGAAGTTGGCATGCTGTGTTTAGGGAATTGGGGGATACACTTGTGGACCAATTTCGATTTGCATTGGTCTATGTAGGTCAAGTTCACGTATTCATACATGTCCATATTCGAAAGAAAATAAAAGGAATGATGTTGATATATCTCTGATTGCTTGGCGAAGTACCATAGAAAATTATGGTCATTGATCTTAGTCAATCATGTCTAACATTGTGTGAAGGCCTCGGGGACTATGACACTACGTCTATCTATTAAGAGTCTAATATGAGTACATAATTCTTCAAAAATCTTCAATTCTGATATAGTCGATTCATATGCTCATCATTCTTGCTGAACACACGTGTGCAAACATGCAGAAAGACATACATGAGGCAAAAGCCATATCTGTGACTGAATCCACTGAGCACAAGAAGAAACCGCCTCTGTTTATATATAGACTGTTTCCTCACGCAAACTCGAAGAATCGTTCCCTTACCTGACATCCCTAGGACCTTTGGATGAACCATGACACATATTTGCATATGATGTTTCATAGTCGCCCACTTCATGCCAAAAACTTTTTCTAAAGGAGAAAGTTGCTTTTCTATGGGGAAGGCTATTGTTTCATTGCAGTAGTCGAGAAAATTGTCTGGTCGTGGTTTAAGGGAAGAACATCATCACAATGAAGCATTGAGAGAGAAGCGACGATCAAGAAGCAGTATGGTAGCTTCCTTCAGGGCAATCTACGGCAAGGACTTTCAAACAAATTAAAATCCGATTTGACAAAGTACAAATTTGAAGAAGAGATTGCGGGTTTCTTCTTGATTCCCCCAAGAAACAGTTGTAAGTTGATTCCAAATGTCTATAACCGATCGGTGCTGCCGAGTTTGACTAGGTCTATAGAGCCGCGAACGACATCTGTCCAAAAGGTTGTGTACAGAATCATCCTAGGCTTCTTCATCTAAATTAGAAAACCATTTCTGCGGTGGCAGGGGCATACGTTCTATGCGATTAATTTCCCTGCCTAGTACCATTTGGGCCTTTCATGATGGATCAAATCAATCAGAAACTTATGATCCTTCGATCTTTGAAATTTTAATGGAAGAAAATGAAGATCAACTCTCTTCGGCAGAATTTTAGAGGCATAGCAAGGCTGATGCCTCCACAAATGATACTATTGCTCATTTGTAACTATCTTTCCTAACACAACCATATGGAAGAACAATTTCTCCGAAAGTGCCTAGGCTAGGGCTCGCTCCGATTGAGCGAGCGTTAGTGCAAAAATCACTTCACACATATCGATGAAATACGTGTCCTTTCAAAGTAATAGACCTGTTTGGGCGAATGAAGTGGATTCCATAACAAAAGCATGAGGAGAGTGTGGCTGCTTCACACTATCAAAGGATGTAATGGCTCAATCGGGACATGTTGCATGTGCGAGCTCGACCTACATAGGACCACATGGAGACGAGACTCGCCGGAAAATGGCCGCCAGCTGCATTCCCACATACCCACGATAAAGCTACAAGAATCATCACCTTACGTGAGGGACATACGAGTACATGCGTGAGAACTGAGCCACATACTTGCAGATATATTCAAGTCCCCAAGTGTAATAGGTTTGTGACTTTTTTTGGTAATTTTCCCGTGGAAAAATACTAACCATAAGAAACTAACAATAACGACCAATTAGAGAAAATTACATTATCACTGGATAATTACCGGTGACTACTTCCCTAACTTACGATGTATAAAGGAATGTCACTATTTTGTATGCAACTTTCGAACAATAAATGCAATCAGATTATGGGGAGTTTAGCCAACAATTGCTAAGTAATATATCACTCCCGATGGTTAGAGGTAATTTATTGCGTGAAATGGAAATTGCTAAGTGCGAGCATTCTCATGTGACAATGAGTAATTTACCTTCAAAGTTGTAACATCTCTTAAGACAATAATAAGTCTTATATGAAGTAATTCAAAGTAGTAATTTACGCCATGAGATGTAATGCAGTTCTAAAGTAGTAATTTCCCTTGTAATTAGTAAATCGAGTGAGTGCTAATCCTTGAATATCTTAATTATACGTATTCTTAGTAAATCGCTAACAAAGTCTAATCGTGGTAATATACCTTATTGTACCATAAATGCAAAATGATGTTCGTAAGTCATATTTTTGTGTTTGTAAAACTAATTTCAATGCCGTTAAATTATTTTACGTACGTAAGTAATTGTTAATGTTAAAGTTATCTTACAATTCATAAATTACCTTTTGGATGCGTATATTGCCTACAATCAAAGTAAGCTGCAAATAACTGGCTATAGCCAGTCAATTTTGCACACGGAGTGAAGTCTGCATTTTTATCATAGGGGACCCTAGACCCGTGATTAATGATACGACCCTATCGCGCTTCCTTTTCTAAGAAGCTTTTATTATACGTTTGCCTCCACAGAGATGAGATTGCATTGTTCTTTGATTTATAAGACTTATGAAGCAAATTGTAAGTTAACCATCAACTTCAAATTCCTCTATGAGTATTACGTCGCAACTCATACCTAACCTAAAAAGGACCGTCATATTGGTAAATTAATATCACGATCAATAAAAGCATAGTTTAGAAATGATCACTAACACACATACTCATTGGTCGTTTTCAGTAGAACTAGTCCCTGAACCCGGAGAAACACGGTTCGGAATGGACATCATACGAACCAAAGAGGTTATCATCAGAATATGCACATTTCACAGCATCTAGTGGAAGCTCCTTCATTTCAATATAGCTTCTAATTCCTGGTATGGTGAGTAATTTAGTTGCCGTCTTCTTTTCACTAAGGGCAAGAATATCCCCACAGGAAAAGAAATTAGTTTGGGGAAGCAACATAACCAGACAATGACTGTCCAAATGGTTCATGGGATAAGATTATGGTTTTTACCAGGAATTGCGGAGGTTTCAGTAGAACTAGTCCCTGAACCCGGAGAAACACTGTTCGGAATGGACATCATACGAACTGAAGAGGTAAATATGACAATCATAGAACAACGTTTTATTAGCTGATGTTCTTGCAGAAATTGATCTGACTTGTTCCCCCGCGCAGGGCTTCATCTGCATCTTCTCCATGACCGAAGGATCAGCAGCCGATCGCACCGGGCTAGGATGAATCCACGAGGAGGCCAATGCAGCTGGGCAACTGCTTGTGTTCTCGAGATTAGAAGGCAAAAGCCCGCTGCCTTCAAATGTGTGCTCTGAAGGGCTAATATACTGCTGTGAGCACAGCGACATCAGAGAAGTCCTCACCGCAGCCATCGACATGATGGATAGGATCAAAATCCACATCATGGGGTGGCCCAACCAAACACGCCTTAATACATCCCCAGCGATGGGCGCGGCGGCTCTCCGTCCTCCTAATGTATATTGTTCACCTCCTCCGCTGTCAAAAACATGAAAGTCAATATAAAGATTACGTGGCAACAAATTTTTTACACAAGTCACGCGAGGAAGAATCAAAACATTCTCAAGAATTCTTTTCCATGTTTTCTGAATGCAGTGGAGCAAGTAATCCGAGTATGTAACATGCCTAATTTTGTCACATTACTTGGTTTCCTTGCTCTTTCTTTCGGGAAAAAAACTTAGTAAGTCAAATTGATTCGGACAATTTTGGCTTTCCCTTCTCCGATTTATGATCATTTCTCTTTGCGTAGGCACACGAGAATCGTTAAGGCACATTGGTTTTCGAACAGAAATGGGCAATCAAATGTATAGCAAGACTGCTGCTTGCTCATTGTGCTTGAATTATTTGCTAGCTAGAAACCATTTGCGACTATTTTGGTAGGCAGACTTATCAAATGTAACTTTCACGTAGGGTTGGTATATCTCTAATTGCTCAGCGAAAGTACGATAGAAAATTATGGTCATTGATCTTAGCCAATCACGTCTAACATTGTGTGAAGGCCTCGGGTACCATGTGTTGCATATTAAACCATTGCAAAACAATTTTCAAGATCGAGTCAATAAATCTTTCTAAATGTAAAATCAAAACTAGATCACTAGCTGTTACTTACGTTCTGATCTTGTGTCACGTTCTGCACTGTATCACGTTATGGACTCGAGTTACATTCTGAACTTATGTTTTGGACTTACGTTCTGAACTTGTGTCAGAATATGAACATAAGTAGCTCTTTGAATTTGAAGTTCTTAATTTCCAGTATAAAGTTTGAACCTCTTTTACTTGAAGTAAATTCTACAATTTGAACTTGAATAAGATTAAGATTGTCATATCTTCTCTTCCAAAAATAACTTCCTGAATCAAAATACTTCAAGGCATTTATCAGACTTATAAAACATATGAATAGTTTTGTCAACTTTAAAATCTATTATGATGTTTTCTCAGCATAGGCCACATATTTGCATATAAGAATAAGGGTAATGCATAACGCAGATGATTGGTTCTTTGTAATGTCAGGTCACTGGAACGAGTAACTCAGAATATGATGTTTCGTGGTCGCCCACTTCATGCCAAAAACTTTTCTAAAAGAGAGTTGCTTTTCTATGGGGAAGGCTGCTGTTTCACTGCAGTAGTTGAGAAAATTGTCTGGTCGTGGTTTAAGGGAAGAACATCATCGC